GGCACTAAAGGCTATGATCTCAGAACCAAAATAATTATCTTGGAGAAACTGTGGCAATGAAGAAAAGTGCCAGATGGTTTAAAAAGAACAAATATTGGCTCCCTTGTCAGAGCAGAAGGTGGTAAATTCTAGATACCATAAAAAATTGATGTCACTCCCTGGCAAATCCTAGGCTGGATTGTAAAAGAGAGGGTTGGGGGCCTTTGGAAACAAACAGTTCATCTCCGGAAGCCTGCAGAAGTTCATGAAGAACAAGTGGGACCCAATGTGTTGGACACAGTCATGGGACAGGTAGGGTGGAATTATGCCCAGCGTGGATTTCAGTTACAGAAATGCGTCTTACCAAGGCTCTCACGATTCCTTCAGGGATAAGATGGTGACATGTTAGATGGAACAATGGGGCCATCTATAAGCTCTGTGGAGGCGTTTGGGGTAGCATTAGGGACCGGAGGAGCGATTCCCACAACATGCCAAAGGACATGTCCTCCATCCAGTCTGTTTCACACTGGAGAGGAAAAAGTCTACACAATACCCGTTAGAAATGCCTCATGGATGGACGTTTACCCCACTCACAATTGCCTTTAAATGTAGGCTGTGGGTTTCCAATGAGAAAAACATAATTATTTGCATTTGACTCAACTCTCCCTAGCCCAGCCCCCTCTGTGCTTTTACAAGATCAAGGCCATCGGGAGAGGATCTTTCTTATTGATGATACCAGGTGACCAATAAAAGAAAGTGGGGTTTACTTGCTATATGTCAAGTATTACCTTCACAACCTTTTAATATATTTGCTCTTTTAATTCTCATCAACTTTGACAGGTTGTTACCAGTGTCCCCATGTATACAACAGAAAATGGAAAACAAAGAGGGAGTGGGTCACTTTTCATATGCTCGGTTATTACTCAGCTGGGAATGAGAGCGCCAGGAGACACACCCAGGCCAGACTCGACAGTCTACATTCTCTTTCCAACAGACTGTACTGTCTGCGGAGCTGTGAAGAGCCAGATGCAGTTTTTGTGACTGTGTGTGTGTGTGTCTGTGTGTATGCACGTGCGTGTAGAGAAGGAAGCCAGCAAGATGTGGCTGAATTGGAACGGTACATTGGCACACAGAGATGAAGATAATAATATGCACAGGAGTAAAGGGGCAGAAAAGGGACAAGTCAGTCCCAACTGTGAGCAAAGAGAAAAAGCTGGTTAGAGATGTTTTGTGGTCAAAGCCCAGGAGTTCGTGGGCTGGCCTGGGAGGACAGTGGTTGCCAGAAAAGCAGGGTCAACCAGAAGCCAGAGGGACCTGCCCAGGGCTTGAACAGGAAAGACCTCCCCAGAGGCCAGAAGAATGGGGAAGAGAGGAAGCAGCTGGGTCTCAAGGGTGGAAGGTGAGGGAGCTGGACAAACACCCACACGCCTGGAGGGGCATGCCGAAGGGGGCTGTCTGTGGGTCGGAGTAGGGGTCTGACAGCCTCTTCAAAGAGCTGAGGCATGGGCAAACCAGCCCTGGACGGGACCCTGCTGGGCTGGGTAACAGCTATATACATGTGGTTCCTCTTAGGCAGGGATTCTCCAAGTGGGCTGAATACGACGCTCAGGGGAGAGCCTGGACATCTGTGTTTTAAAAAGGTCTCCACATGATTCTGACACAAGCTCAGTTCTGAGAAACACTGGTTTACCCTTGGGCTGAACCAAAAGGCCTTCAACCTAATTCAGGAAGCTTTCACCAGGTGCCCTGAAGAACAAAGATGAACATCACCAGCCCAAGAAACTCACAGTGAAGGGAGGAAAGAGGATAAATAAATAACAATGATTATAATAGGAGCCTGACAGGCTTACGCACAGAGAATTATGGGAACACAGAAGAAGGGTCTTTAACCCTGAGGGAGTCTGAAAGGCTTCCTGGAAGAGGTGACCTATGAGCTGACTCCAAGGCTGCCTATACCAGCTTTAAAGAGAAAGAGAAACCCATATACCAAGGGTACAGTCTGCCCAGAGGGGATCTTCCCTGCTTTTGCCCTTGAGAGATGGTAACCTCAGAGGCTGATGCTGCTAAAAGGGACAGAGGTCTATTTCTACTGTGGGAAATTCAGGGATGCTCCAAAGACACCAGAGAGAAGAGCAAGTCTGAAGACTTGGGTGGGGAAAATTGGTAAACAACATCAAAACCATTAATCCACTTGTCATCATTATCATGATAATTAAAAAAATCTGTTTCTGCTTACCTGCATGCCAGTCACACTTGTATATCATAACGTGGAAATGGGATGAAATAGAGGCCCATCCAGTGGTGTGCTGGTAAATGTTTACAACTGGCTCAGGGGGAGGGGCAGGCGGGGGGGCGGTGAGGGAGGGGGACTTCATTTCTAGCGTTTGCCAATTTCAGTGGTGTAATACTTCCACTGTGGCCAGTTTCAAGCTACTGATCTGACTGACTCTGTCACTGAATATGGAGCTGGGAAGAGATGCACAGAATTGGCTTTGCAAGCTGGTGCACACCGCTGGGCTTTAAAACCCTACTTCATTCCAAGGAGTCCTAGGGAAAAGCCAAAGCATTCCTGAAGTGTGTGAGTGTATGTGTGTGTGCGTGCACAGCGGCAGAGGTGGGACACAGGATGACGACAGGACGACCCAAAATTAATATCACCAAATAGATTAACGCACAAAAATAAGAAGTCAAGAGGAAAAAAGTTCAACTACGTGATAAAGAAATAAACTTGACAAATAAACCTAATGGAAACCAATCTGCACGTCCAGGAAAAGGTTCTGAATAAATGGTCTAACTTCTTAACCTGATAAACCCTAAACTTCTTAACCCATAAAATTGACCTCTTTTCAAATTAAAAAGACAACAGTGTCCTTATTTTAGTTTGTAACCTTATCTCCTTCCCACAGACATTTCAGGTAGTGTGCATTCACTGTTACCCATCAAGGTCACAGTTAGTTTCAAAGGCTAAAGAAAGATAAATTATTGGGGTATTTTTTACATCACCCCTTCATCAAATAACACACTACAGACATATGGTGAGACTGGCCCCAGTACTGTACTTTTAGACACTGCTTTGTAAAGCTGAGTATGCATAAGGATTCCCCAGAGGGCCTATGAAAATACAGATCGCTGGGCCCCATCTCCAGAGTTTCTGATTCAGCAAGTCCAGGGTGGGTCCAAGATTCTGCATTTAAAACAACTTCTCACGTGATGCTGACGCTGCTGGTCTTGGGACCAGATTTTGAGCATGACTTTGGATCACTGCCATCAAGTCATCTTTCTTGAGGAAAGCACAATGCCCTCCCTTAAATAGCCATTTTAACGTGCAGACAGCAAGAGATTTTACACACGTCCCCGTGGCTTGTCAATCGCTTCCACACATGCACCTGTTATTGGCGCAGCCACACATGGATTGCTATGAGGAGCCAAGTGTTACAGAGCAAACTGCGCGTTGAAGCATGCGGGCCGTGTTCCTGGGTCCTTAAGAGCCTCGACTGCTACCCCTGTTACTTCATATTCCACCATCGCCTGGAGCCTTCACTCTCCCACGTGCGGTGGGCTGGAGGAACAGCGCCGCCCCCATCCTACAGTTGAGGAAGCTTAGGCTCCTGAGAGAGGACATGACCTGCCCTCACTGGACTGTGCATCTTAGACTGAGCATTTTAGACTCATTTCCTTTGCACCCCATTTCCAATTAGGGGCAGGGAGGCCCACTGGGACCAAGGTCAGATGGAAGCAACTGGTGGAGGCTGGTCACAAACCAGGTTATCACCTGACTCCTTACTGACCTTGCTACGCACACCCCAGGAGTCCTAGCTTCTCTCCTAACTGGCCCTGGCTGCTGTATTTTTGGAATTCCTGTTTCTGATTACCAGTTTTTCTTTGTACTCTGTTGCTGTCACACTAGCAAGCAGTTATTTCCATCATTGCTCAGATGCAGGCATGCCCCCAACGGCCCTGTTCCCCACTTCACGCCTCCTGGGAATGGCTGCAGGCTGAAAGGCTGGCTAATAGTGCCCTCGGGGTGCCTGGGCCCAGCAACCAGATGAAGGACTCGCCTCCAGGCTGCAGTTCCAAGGGCACAGGGTGTGGCGAGCACTGCTGTCTGGTGGGTCCCGGGGCCCCACACTCCTCACAAAGAGCTGCATCCACATCTGTCTTACTTTGGCATAGAGAGCTGGCTTGGCAGGGGCCCCTCGGGGTGATGCCAACCCTGTGTTCTTTCCGGGCCTCCTCAAGAGCGTTCTGGAATCAGTCCTCTATGTTCAAACAGCTTCTCCCTTTACATCCCAGATGCTGGGTGGACAAGAGACTAGTCTAAAAAGACCAGACTTCCATAGTTAAAGAAATGCCTTTAAAGTACACACCAGAGAATCTCAGAAACAAAGCAGCTCTTCCAAGGTCCCAGAGGAACGTGGCTTGAGGAATTCCTCTGTCCACAGCAATTTGGTGACCTCACAGGTCAACATTTCTTAAAGGCATCCTCCAGCACTTAATGTGTAACCTTGGGCCAGGGACCTAAACTCTCCGTGCCTCAGTTTCCCCATCCGTAAAACATGGGCAATCACGTTACTTCATGGGTTTATTCTGAAGATCAAGTGAGCATGTGTGCATAAATTTCTTCTAAGGATACTTGGCAGAGGGAGCCATGGGGTCTACCTCCAATAATGATGTTGCTCTTATCATCATGGAGGCCACAAACTATGGGTTCACCTCATTTATGTCACTTAGAGTTTTTAGTTCTATGCAAATTAATGAAAGGAGAATCTCTTTCCACCCATCGTCCAGCACACACGAAGTAATTTGCCTATAGAAAGGGAAAAGTGGGGCCCATCCCTCCCCCCCGGGGCGGTGGAAAAAGGGGCACGGAAGGACGAAAGGGGTCCTTATCGGGTCTACCCGGGTCAAACTGCCTGTCGGAGGAAAGCCACAGCTGAGCAGCAGCCACAGCCAGGTCCAGCGAGCGGATAAAAGAATCATTGTCCAAACAAAAGAAGCGCCCCTGCCAATCCCCCACTTACTTCCAGGACCGTCCATTGTTCGACAACAATAGCATCATAGCCCTGCATGGTTTTGCTATCTTCTGTGGAAACAGCTTCAAAGATGAATACTCCATCTGTCAAGCCGTGTAAGGAATCTGTGGAAAAAGAGAAAGGCGGGGGGGCTCTGTAAACTGTCTGTGGCAGAGGCCTTACAAGCAGCAAAAATTTTCACTGCATTCATTAATAATCCCAATCAGAACATCTTTTCAGCATGTTAATTAAAGAAGGCACACACAGCCACGGAATCTAGCCCCATCAGAATGAATGAGACTAATTTACCTCGCAGTTTTGAATAATATCCTTGATTTTATGAGCCCAAATTTCATTGTTAGCAATCACCATTTGATTTCAGGCGTTTACCTTCCTTTCCACGCTCCAGCGTCAGGATGCACTGGGGAGAACTTATTCAGGGTAAAACACAGTCATTTAGAGACAGTTTTTAGAAGAAAACTATATTTAGGTGGAGAGATTTTTTTTTAAGGGGGGATAGATATAACACACCAGATCTGAGCCTGTCAGACGCATTCTACACGCGTTGATTCTTGGAAGTTCCCATGATGTGGGCTGCTGTACAGATAACGCTTCAGGCAGCTCTTGTCAAGAGGGGGAACTGGAGGGAGGGGGGGAATTTTCCCAAGTGATTTACTACTGAAAATGTTTCCTTGGGCACTGCTCCAGTCTGTGGACAGGTTCTGAGGTCTGTACAACTCAACAACGTCCACTAACCATACAGGACGATTCTAGAACTGTCTTAGGCAATGAGGGTATACAAAAAATCACAACAGGGTCCCTGCCCCTGCGAGAGACATCAAGGGAGGTGCTTTCAGCCCCTTTTTTGGTGAACGGCTCCTAAATGCCCTGGATTCATTTAGATAAGAGATTGTGGGCAAGAGGACGGGACTGAGAAGCAGGTGTTTTGGGTCGGTGCTCTATCGTGAAAAGTGAAGTGACCACATTCAGGAGCTTGGTCTTTCGTCTGTGAAATGGGGTTGTGGGCAGAGAATTCCTTTCGGTCCCTAGATGCTAGTCTACGAATCACTGCTTGACCATTCTGTTACGGACAGAACTGTGTCCCCAAAATTCATATGTTGAAGCTCTAACCTCCAAAGTGGCTGTATTTGGAGATAGGGCCTTTAAGGAGCTATTAAGGTTAAATGAGGCCATAAGGTGGGCCCTCATCTGATAGGACTGATGTCCTCATAAGAAGAAGAGTCACCCCTCATTTGCACAGAGGAGATGCCACATGAGGACCAAGGGAAAGCAGCCGTCTGCAAGTCAGGAGGAGAGGCCTTGCTGGAAACCGGAGTTGCCAGCTAGACCACGGACTTCTAGCCTCCTGAACTACGAGAAAATACATTTCTATTGTTTAAGCTATCCCATCTGTGGTATTTTGTTAAGGTAGTACACATAAAAAATGTGTTTAATGATATACTATTTTTGCTTTAAAAGGACAATTCACAAAACAACGTGATCATGTTTTTCAGGCAGGAAAGGGAGACAAATTCAGAAAGGTCTCTGAATCACACTGGAGTCCAGGAACTGCTAGCATTTTCCAGAAGTCACAAAGAAAAAGATGGACAGATGTAAAAACATAATCTTTAGCTTCTGTCTTCCAACAGACCTCAAAAACAAAATCAAAAGGCTATCAAAATGATAAAATTATTTGCAACAACAAAAATAAATAAATGGCTAAGTTTAACATTCTCTCTATATAAAACTTTTACAAATCAAGAGTTAAAAATACTAAAATACCATTAGAAATGGGCAAAGGACATCAACTAGCAACTAATTAATTAATTCTCCCTCTCTCTCGTGGTCATTCTTTTTTTTTTTTTTTAGGAAGATTAGCCCTGAACTAACATCTGCTGCCAATCCTCCTCTTTTTGCTGAGGAAGACTGGCCCTGAGCTAACATCCCTGCCCATCTTCCTCCACTTTTTATTTGTGGGATGCCTACCACAGCGTGGCTTTCTGAGCGGTGCCATGTCCGCACCCGGGATCTGAACTGTGGAACCCCGGGCCGCCAAAGTGGAACGTACAAACTTAACTGCTGTGCCACCGGGCTGGCCCCTGGCCACTCTTTCTTGATGGCCATTTAATGTGTCATTTAATGACAGGGATGTGTTATGAGATATGCATCCTGAGGCCATTTCATTGTTGTGAGAACATCATAGCGTTTACTTACACAAACCCAGGTGGCATAGCCTAGTACACACCAAGGCTATATGGTACTAATCTTATGGGACCACTGTCATATAAACAGTGTTTGTCATTCACCGAAACGTCATTATGTGGCCCATGACTGTATTGAAAAAAATTTTTCAATCTCTCTTTTGTTTATCCAATTGGCAAATTTTGAAAAGAAAACACTCACTGGCGGTAAGGGTGTGGTGATATGGGAAAGCTTACTGTGCTCAGGGAATTTTAACTGCACACTCTTTCTAGAGAGCAATTTAACAACATCCCAAGAGCCTGAAACAAAAAGTCCATCCCCTCTGAGAAGAAATCCTTTTAGTCTGTCTTGAGGTAATAACCACTAATGCTATCAAATATTTATCTACAAGTATTACTTAGAAACTTCTTAAAAATATAAATAGTCTAAATGTTCAACAATCCAAATATTTAATCATAAAAAAGGAATTAAATACATTAGGAGATTTCCATACAATTACACACTATACTGTCCTGAAAAAAAAAGTCACAGGAGTTTAATGATTCAGAAAAATGCTTTAGGGACAACGTTATGGAAGAAAAAACAGGATACAAAACCACAGTAGGAGCTGTATGTAAATTTTTATGTTAAAAAGTGTTAGACAAACAAATTTGAAGGAAACACATAAAATGCTAGCAGTAGTTATGAGTGGTGGAATTAAGTATAATTTGATTTTTCTTTTTTATCCTTTTCTACAGGGTTAATACAAGAGTTCATATAGGCAGAACAAAAGTAAACAGACAACACAGATGAAAAAGAGTTTTCCTTGTCTGTCCTCTACATGGCTCTTGAAGGCAGACTAGAACCATAAAATTTTAGAAACTATGGGGTGGAAATCTTAATGCAATCTAAATATGAAGAGCCTTCCTTACAATAGTCTAAAGAACGGAAGATAAAACCTCAGAAGAGTGAGCACCATGTCACTGCAAGCATTCAAGCTCACACTGAAAACCTTTCAGCCACTCACTCATTCATTCCAATACCTATAAGCACCTATCATGTGCCAGGTACTCTTGCAGTCACTGGAGATCATGAAGGTAGCAAGACAAATGAAGTCCTGCCCCATGGAGCAAGGGAAGGGAGACAATAAAATAATGTCACAGGTGAGAAATGCTATAAAAATATAAAGGGGGCTAAGAGGAGAGAGTGAAGGTGGAGGCAATGGTGGTGGCTATTTTTGCAAGAGGTGTTCAGGGTAGGCCTTCCCATGTTGAGTAGAGACATGAACTAACTGAACAAGCAAGTCCTATGGATCTGCTCGGTTTGAGAGTTCAGGGTAGAGTACACAGTGTAAATAGAAATGCAGAGTGAACGAGGAGCAGCCAAGGACCAGAAGAGCAGCAGAAACATGAGAGAAGAAAGTCAAGACTAAGAGGACTGTTAGGGATACCAGCCAACTAGGGGGTTATCCACATGACTCACTTGGTCAACGGAATATTAGCAGGTGTGATGCAAGCAGGGGCTTGAAAAGCACTTGTGTGGTTGAGCTGGATCTCTTATGTCTCTGCCACCACTTTGAGAGCACAAGCCCCAGTTAGCCAGTTGGTTCCAGGAACATGCAAGACATGTGGAGCAGAGCTGCCCCTGTGGTGCCCAGCTTAGATCAGCTGACCTACAGACCTGTGAGTGAGCCCAGCTGAGATCAGCAGAGCTGCCTCAACAGAGCTGCTCCAGCTAACCTGCAAATATGTGAAAATAAATTTATATGTGAGAATAAACAGAGCTCACAATGAGCTTAAGCTAACGAGCCCTGGGGTGGTTTGTTACACAGCAGTATTGTGGCAACAGCTGACTGATACAATGCCCCACTTAAACTAAGAAACACAAGACCAGTGTACTCTGCTGGGCCTGGAGATATTCCTGATTATTCCAGAATGATAGAGAGGCTTGACTAGCTCAACAAACCATAGCTGTAAGGGTAACTCCTGGAGCACAGCAGCCTTATCCTGATAATATTCCAACTTGACAAGCTGATACTCCGTTTCAAGTAAGATGGCTGTGGGTTAACCAATACTGTGCTCCGGTTTCTTATTTGTTTCCTATCCTGAGAGTCTGTTATCAAACAGCCTTAGCAAAAGTGCTAAGCTCGCTTCTCTCATCTGCTTTACTAAAACGTTTCCCCCAAGTGTTGGTTCAATGCCCTCCCGAGACCTTTTACCTAGGTGACCAGGGAAGAACAGAGCTGCTCTTCAGCTAAACCACATTACAAGTATTTTGGGTTCCAGGACAAAGATGGACCAGAGTCCAGCTCATTTTTAAAGTTCTGGGTAACCCAGGTCCTGCTGGAGCCTCTGCCACAATAGGGATGCCCTACAGAACCCCTGCGAATGAAGCCTTCCCAAGTCCTGACCTGGGGATGCTCAGGACTAGGGGATGCTCAATGATTCCTTCAGGTTTGTATCAACACAGCACAAATTCTCTCAGGGCTTCTACAAAAACATGTTCTATCCAATCTCCAAAGTCTCTACCTACAGATCTCTTCAATGGAAAACCTCCCAGCCCTTTCAGTGTGCCTACCATGTGCTTTAAGTATTAGAGAGCCCAATGTGACATAAATAATATCATAATGCTGAGCCCGCCAACAGCACTAGACAGCAGAGTTGAGATCCAGAAGGGAGAAGGAGACACTGCAGCCCATGCAGATTTTCTTTCCCACCCCCTACCTGGCTGTCCCTCTTTCCTCCAGAGTCACAGGCCTGGGAGGAGGGCTCGGTGGTCAGTGGGGAGAGGTATGGCTGGGCTTAGGGACATGAAGTAGGAACAAACCAGGTCCTTATGTACCAGCTACCCCATCTGGTGTCTGCCTTCCAGCCTCTCAGCCCACTGCTCTGCAGTTCTGAATCCAGAGTGCTGATTCCACCTACTTAACTATGAAGCAAGTTCA